GTCTAAACACCAACTGGAAAAGGATGACAATAGACACGCTAATGCTTCCGGGGGCCTGGGGAGTCCAGGGCGGGGGCCCATGAAACCTCGGGCAGGGAGGGGGCCCATGAAACCTCCGTCCTACATGAAGAGCTAGGTATGGGCAACTAATGAAGGTTGAGAGTCAGTGAAATAGTTTTCCCCAGGGTCGAGCACACCAACTGGCTATCCGATACCTAATGGTCAGCCCTGAAAACATACATACAAGTCCCATTACACAGACCAAGCAGGTAGTATTTAGATATTGAGGAATATCCGTAAATACACATAAACATATAAGCACTTAACAACAGTTAGTGAAAAGTAGGAGCTATGAATTTGAAAGAGAGCAATAAGAGGTCAATGGGAGGATTTGGAGGGAAGAAAGGGGAATGGGAAATGATGATGTAATGATAACCTCCAAAAATAAAAGTCATATGGGTGCCCCTGTCGTCTGTGTCGTTTTGGGTCACCCACCATAATTCCTGGTGGTGGGTGGGGCAGTGGGGAAGAGGTGGCATCACCCCCCCCCCCCAGGGATCCCCCAGTGACTCTGGAGTGTTCAGAGGCATTAGGGGACCCACTATCCCTGCCTCTCCGAACTGGGAGGAGCCACATGGCACAAGGCATGTTGTGGGCCCTAAGGAGGGTGGAGGGTGTGGTTGCCTCTGGAGCAGGAGACAAATCATTAGTGGGTGGACCTGGGTGGGACTGGGCCTCAGTATTGAGCCTGGAAACAGAACGGAGGAAGAAGAGGATTCCACTTGAGGGCGGGGCTGGCAGGTGCGGCTGGTTGGCTGGAAGGATGTATTCTGAGGGGTGCCTGGCCAGGGGTGGGCGAGGGTGGGGAACCTGTGAGTGTCTGGATGGTTCAGCCCATCCAACACTTGGCAAGGTGTCTCCAGATGAGACCAGGGTCTCAGTGTCTGCGTTGGAAGGGGGAGGTGGACCCTAGGGAAGTGGTAACTTCTGGGTTGTCTTCTCATCTTCCAATCCAGGTTCCAGCAGGAGACAAATTAGACGGAACCTTTCTCACTCCAAGCTACCAATTTCAACCTTTATCCTTGGTTGGGGAGGTTCCTTTCCCCCAGCCACGTCAATAATTCTACAAGCTCTTATTACATACAAGTCTTGATCTAATATAAGATGGGCCTCATCCTAGGGGTTGATCTTGGGGGGTCTACAGGAGCCAACGTCAGCCGGGCAGATGTGGCATGACCTCTGCCAACATCGATAGCCTTTGTTAAATGTCGACTGTATCCAGAGCCTGCTATTGATGGAGTGAAGGTGAGCAGGCCAATGTAAGGGGTCAGCCTTGCCCTGACTCCTGCGCTGAAGACTGAGGCAGGCCTGCCACAGTTCTCTCTGGAGCCTGCTGGCCTTTCAGCAATCTTTGGAACGAGCCTGGGAGTCTTGGGTGATAGTCCAGCTTGGGGTCGACTCACAGGGTTCTGGGGAACATCCAGTGGTCTCCCATTTTCCCCAGGGACTTCCTCTTGCCTCTGTCTCCACCTGAACTTGGCTCCAGCTACCCCAGTCTGGTGTGAAGGAACCCCTTGGATCTCATCCTCATTCCTGTTCAGCTTCAGTGTGGGCCCAGCTGTTGACAGCTGCGGGGGCAGCCGGGGCCTCTCCCTGCTGGGGCGGAAGGCAGGCCCAGGCAGGAGACTTGCTGGGCCACGGGACTTCTATGGCCTTTAGATGCCTGGACGGGCCTCCTCCCCTAGCAGGGAGGGTGGGAGATGCTGATGTTATGGCTAGGTTGACCCAACCGCTGCCTCTCTGCTACCTCCGTGATCTCTTAGTGTTCTTGTGAGGATCTGGGGAAGAAGTTCCAGGTCTTCTCGCCTCTGGCCAGGGATGGCCATGCCTTGCAGTGGGTCGTGGAGAACTCCCTGGGACCCACAGCCATCTTGTGCTGTGTTTAATTTTCCTCTGTGGATCGACAAATATTCTTCTGAGCCACATCCCAAGCCCCTTTGGCATTTATTTTTAAGTTTTAGATTTTTTAAAAAATTTATGTACATGAATGCTTTCCCTACCTATATGTCTTTGTGCCATGTATGTGGCTGGTCCTTCGGAGGTCAGCAGAGGGATCGGATCTCTGGAACTAGAGTTGCAGATAGCTGTGAGCCACTGTGTAGGTACTGGGAATTGAACTCAGGCCCTCTGCAAAAGTAACAAGCTCTCTAAACTGTTGAGCCATCTCTACAGACCCTTATTTTATTTCTTAAAACTTAATTTATGCCATGTGTGGTGGCACATTCCTTTAAATTTGAGAACTTGGGAGGCAGAGACAGGAGGATCTCTGTGAGTTTGAGGCCAGTCTGGTCTACAGAATGAGTTCCAGGACAGCCAGGACTATATAGAGAGACCCTGTCTCAAAAAACAAAACAAATAAACAACTCAAAATAAAAAACTAAAAATAAACAATCATCACCAAATCCCAAAATAAATAAAAATAAATCCATTTACTTTGTGTGTGTGCGAGTGTGAATGTATGTATGTGAGTGTGTGTGTGTGTATGTGTATGTGAGTGTGTGTGAATGTGTGTATGTGAGTGTGCATGTGTGTGTGAGTGAGAGTGTGTGAGTGTGTGTGTATGAATGTGTGAGTGTGTGTATGTGAATATGTGTGTGAATGTGTGTGAGTGAGTGTGTGTATGTTTGTATGTGAGTGTGTGTGTGTATGTGTGTATGTATGTGTGTATGAATGTGTGAGTGTGTGTATGTGAATGTGTGTGTGTGTGTGTGTGTGTATGTGAGTGTGTGTATGAGTGTGTGTGAGTGGTTCAAGCCTACCCCAGTACCTGGAGGTCAGAGGAAGGCCTGCAGGGGTTGGCGTTCTTCTACCTTGTAGGTCCTTGGAACTGAACTCAGGCTGTCATGCTCGGTGATACAGGCTTTGACCCACTGAGTCATCTTTCTAGCCTCCCAGTTTTTATTTTTTATTGTTAGACAGTCTCACTGAGTTGCCCAGACTGGCCATGCTCACTCTGTAACCTAGGGGAGACCGTGCATTTGCTGCTCTTCTGCCCCTGCTTCTCAAGTAGCTGAAACAACAGGCCGGTGTTCCCCATCTGGCCCATGCCCCACATCTGGCTTGTGCTGTCTTGATTTTGCCCATTAGCTGGGTAGGACAGGCTAGCTAGCCTGTCCTTCAGTGTGTGAGGCCTCTCTGCACTGTGAAATTAGAACAAAAACCAAGAAACAAATGTGGTCTAGAAAAGAGTGGCCTGAAACTCGCTATCAGAGATAAGCAATGCCATGGGCCCAGTTGGCAGTTGGTGTGGTGGTGGTGGTGGTAGGTTTAAACTGGGGCTTTTGAGAGAAACAGAGGGCTAGCCGACTATGTTTCTCCAACTGGACCCTTGAAGCTGAGGTCTGGGGTCACCGGAGGTAGAAATTGGGGATCCTCCTTTCCTCCCAAGATCTTTGAAGGAATGTGGAGAGATGGTTTTAGCCAGGATTTGAGAAAACTGAAGGCTGGGTGGGCTTGGAGCTGGAGTCCATGTTGGGGGGACAGGGTGACCTCTCACCCACTGCCCAGCAGCTGAGGGAAAGCAGAGGAGCAGAAAGCCTGGGGAGGGGCTGCAGGGAGAGGGCTGACGGGCAAGGTCATTGCAACTTGGCAGGCCACTCCCCAGAGTAACCCAGAGAGTGGCCAGAACAGGGTAGTCAGACAGCTCATAGGGGAGAGGGGGCTCTTGGGAGAGTAGCTCCGGCAGGGATGAGGGTGGGCCCCTACTGCAGGCCTTTCCCTAGGAGGGTGGTTGGAGTAGAGCCTGTTTCTGGCCCACGCAGGTGAATGTGGGTTTTGTGGGGTTCCTTTCCAACTCCAAAGCAGTTTAGATTGCCAGAAAGTCCTTCTTGATGTCTAACCTGTGGCCACCTGACATTCCTCTCTAGTCTTAGTTCTGTGCCTCCCCTACCAATAGCTTCACACGCCAGGCAGCAACAGGATGAAGCCAGTGCCCTAGCCCTCCCTGCCAGGGAGCTTTTACAGCTCTTCTCCTGGTGCCTCAGGGGAGGGGCATCTTCCCGTGAGAGCCCACCACTTCAAAGCAAGCGAGCCTCTTTCCAGGAGTTCTGGGCCCTATGGGAAACTCAGCCCCCTCCCTGTCCCTGAGTGTGGGCAAGGAGCCCAGGCCACCCGTGTGCCTCCTATCTCTGCCTCTGAGCCCGGCGGGGCCTTGGCCACCCCTGGAGGCTCCACATTCAGACAGGCTCTGCACAGACGCCAGTGTCCTGGCAGCGCCTAAATCATTAGCGCCGGTGAGATTAGACCACTAATCTCCCTGTTGGGTGGAGTGGGTGCCAGGCTGTGGGACTGTACCACTCCCCTACAGGGGTGGCTGCTGGCTCCCAGGACTGGGATGTGGCTCTTCCGTGGGGCATGACTCCCACTCAGGGTCACCCTGGCAACAGGCCTGCTTTTCTGTGGCTTACCCTCCCCTGGTGCTCTCTCTGGGAACCCTCTGGGTCGGCTTTCCTCAGTTGTGGGGGCAAATGAATGGGGGTGACACCTTCTCTCTGATCTCAGGCTGTCTCAGTCCACTATACCCATTTTCTATTTTGCCATAGCTTTGCCTATGCCAAGAGACCTCGAGAGGCAGTGATGATGATGATGATGATGAATTATTATTGATTGTGTGTGTGTGTGTGTGTGTGTGCGCGCGCGCGCGCATGCACGCACATGTGCACAAATGCCATGATGAGCATGTAGAGGTCAGAGGGCAACTTTGTGGAGTCGGTTCTTTCTGCCTTTACTTGGGTCCTGGGGCTTGAACTCAGGTCATCAAGTACAGCAAGTACCTGTATCCACGGAGCCATCTTGTTGACCCCGATCCCCTTCTGTAGGTGAAGAAGCAGAGATGCTTTTATTTGCTTCCAGAAAATCTGGGGTCTAAAGCTCCCCGTGGCCAGTGGCCATGCCTCTTCTTTCTTAGTCAGGGGTCCCTAAGTTTGCAGTTGTATCTTACTTTGAAGGCTTGGAATAGTTTCAAGAAAGCTGGGGGCTCCCTCCACTTAGACTGAGGGGCTCCACTAAGACTATCATGTACCAGGAGTGAATATCCACGTCTTCCTCCCTAAGATCCTGGAATGCCAGGTGGGGGGCCAGACCTGCTTCCTGGCTCCTGGGCTTGTGGAGCCTTGTTTGAGGCCCTTCCCTGCTCTTGGGCTAGATTCTTTGGACTCCCCCCGCCCCCAAGAATGAGCTCAGCTGCCTAATTGAGGTTGAGGATGGAGGATCACCCTGCCCCGGGGCTGCAGCTCGAATACCATCTTTGTTCTGAAACAGAACAATGGACCACTAAGTGGTCACTGATGCCCAGGCTGGACAGACACAGGAGGGAGCCTCAGGATATGGGGTTGTGTTACACAGGTCAAGACCAAGCCTCAGGCCCCGGGTGGCTGACTAGGACAGAGACAAATTACAAGGCTGGGGTTTTGGCTTGGACTTCAAGGGCCAGGGGCTCAGTCTTCCTTCATCCTGGCTATAAAGAGTAGCCCACGGTCTCCATCCGCTCCAGACCCTGTTACCTGACCTGCAGATACCATGGCTACTACTACCAGCATCCGCCAATTTTCAACCTCCAGCTCCGTTAAGGGCCTTTGTGCTCCTGGCGGGGGATTCTCCCGGATGTCCTCTGTCCGTGTTGGGGGCGCTTGCCGGGCTCCCAGCCTCTTGGGAGGTGGCAGCTGTGGCAATATGTCGGTCACATCTTCCCGCTTCTCAGCAGGCCTGGGGAGCAGCTATGGTGGCGGCTACACCTGCAGCTTGGGTGGGGGCTTTGGCTCCAGCTTTGGTGTGTCAGATGCCCTTCTAGGGGGCGGTGAGAAGGAGACCATGCAGAACCTCAACGACCGCCTGGCCACCTACTTGGACCGGGTGCATGCCCTGGAGGAGGCCAACACTGACCTGGAGGTGAAGATCCGTGACTGGTACAAGAAGCAGGGCCCTGGACCCGCTCGTGACTACAGCTCCTACTTCAAGACCATAGAGGACCTGCGCAACAAGGTGGGACCCCTGCCTCCCTTCTGCTGTCTGCCCAAGGTCCTGACCAGACTCACTCCATCCCCACAGCAGAAAACATCCTCTCCATCACAGACCTCCATCATTTGACCATTTGTCTCTCCCTCTCTCACATCTCTGGGACTAACTCTGAGCCTGAGGATTGTCCTGGACTATGTATCCTTTGGGAACTCTCCAAGGGGATGGAGGAGAACTCTTCTCTTCCTAGGGATTTTGTCTGGAGTGGGTGGTGGAGGAGGATGGGGCAGCATCGGGACCCTGAAGGCAGCGGAGGGCATTGCAGCTATAGAGAATAGCCTGATAAAGGGTCTGGGAGGTGGGTGGCGTCTGGCATGGATGCTGAGACATGAGGCTAGGGATTATCTTTCCTCTGGAGCTACTCTCCTGCCACCTCACCCTTCTCCAGGTAGCTCTCTTGGATGAATGACTTTCTTCTATCCCAGAATCTTGGTGTCCAGTCTATGCCCTGATTCTTAGGCTGACTTCAGAGTCTGGGTGTTCTCAAGGCTGCGCTAGTTGTGGGTCTCCCTCCCTCTCTCTGATGGCTACTTTGGGTTCTGTTTTCCCACTCAGACTGGAGGCTAATTTGACTGAAGAGGACCTCCTCTCTTCCCCTTACCTTCTTTTTTCTTTTCTTGATCTCTAAGAAAATAGCTTTGGCATTCTGCAAATGTGGCTGCTCAGGTCTTAATACAAACATGTTCTGGGAGGGTCTGGGTACCGAATCCTAGTAGAAGGCAGGGAACTGAGGGTCACCGAGAGTCAGGATGGCCCCAGTCTGGTCCCAGGCAGCTGTGAGGCCAAGCCAGGCTCTGGGGTATAAAACCAGCCCTACAGCAGCCCACTGAGGGGCTTTGTCTGCTCCTGCCCGGGTCCTCCACTTGGCAGGGGAATTCTTGTAATCTCCCTTGGAAGCAGAGCTCCAGGCTGTGCCAGATCAGATACCAGGCTTTGTTGGGGCAGCAGGGAACCCAGGGGAGTCCTGGTGAGTCAGTGCTCTGCACTTTGGGGTTAGCTGGCATCTCACCACTATCCTCATAACAGAGCCCCCCTCCCCTGGGTTTCCATGCCACACTCTCAGTGTTGTGGTTAGGCTCCTGGGTACACAGGTGGTGGGACCAGGCCTCGGCAGGCGATAGATGGTGAGGCAGGAGGATGGAAGAAACCTGACCCTTAAACTCAACCCAAGTCACTGCATGGAACTTAGAGCCTGGAGTGGGGTCTTGGAGGGGACTGAGGTGGCCTTAGACATAGGATGGTTCTGGTGGGACATTTTCCTCCTGAGTCAGCCTTGAACCATGACAATTTCCCCCTAGCTCCTGCCACCAGGCGAGTTTTCCTTTGCACTCCTCTCTTCCTCCAACTCCATGACCTTTACTTGGAACCAGCCTTGGGCATTTCCAACAGTATCCACGGCAGCGTTAATAACAAGAAACGAACTTCCTGTATCTTCTCAGGCTCTGCCCTGGCTTTGAGGAGGGGCTGGTCATAACCTCATCAGTCAATTAATTAGTCACATAATTAATTAGACAAATATACCCTGGGGGCTTACTCTGGGCCAGGCACTGTGCCCGGGTCTGAGGAGCCCAAAGAGAACCAGACAGGTATGGCCTTGTTTTCAGGCTGTTCTGAGTCGGGAGAATCTAATCAAAAATATAGTGGAAACTCCGATAAGGTTGTCTCAGAGACGGAGAAGTGCTATGAGAGAGATGGGGGAGGGGAGATGGCCGGGCTGAGCCTGGAAGTGAATTAGTTGGGGATAAGACCCAGGTATCTTAGACCCCATGATGGCAGATGGATGCCTGTTTCTCTATGTCATGGTGTCATGTCCCATCATTCAGTGAGAACTTGTAGAGGGGTTGGCTGGGCAGCCCCTGAAACCACATCTGGGGGTTCAGAGAAGGAGGCCACAGGACCCTTATCATTCATCCTATGCAAGGCTGCATGCAAGTGGGGTACAGCAGAGCCTTCTGAGGCTCTGTGGTAGGTGCTTGCTCACGGGGCTCACCATCACTTCCAGATTCTGGCAGCCACAATTGACAATGCCAGCATCGTGCTGCAGATCGACAATGCTCGCCTGGCGGCTGATGACTTCCGCACCAAGTGAGTCTGTGCCCACTGGCTGTTCCTGGGGAGCTGGTGCTGGGTTCCTGCTCTGCACAGAGCACAAGCATGGTGTGTGGACCATGCTGCCTACCTTCAACCCTGCAGGTACGAGACAGAGCTGAACCTGCGCATGAGTGTGGAGGCTGACATCAATGGCCTGCGCCGGGTGCTGGATGAGCTGACCCTGTCCAGAGCCGACCTGGAGATGCAGATTGAGAGCCTCAAGGAAGAGCTGGCCTACCTGAAGAAGAACCATGAGGAGGTGGGGCCAGCTTTGGAGACATTAGTGAAGCCCGCTGTGGAGCTGGGGCCAGAGAACTTCTGATGGCTGGGTCTGGGTACTGGGTCCGGTCCTCATCATCAGTGGCTTCACCAGAGGGTTCCTAGCCTGGTGCTGGCTCAATGAGTTCTTCCTCCCAAGAGCCTTCCACTCATCCCTGCAGGCTTGGCTGACTGTGTGGGGACAGTTAATTCACTAATGAGTGAATCAGGCTAACACATTGTGCTAATTATTATAATTAATTATAACAAGGTACATTTACCCAGCATTAAAACTGAGCCACTGCAGTGACTGACAACATGGCAGGGAGACAGAGGCGCTTGCCCTCCTCTTTTGGCAGCACGGAAGTGGAGGCCCAGAGAGGGTTAGGGACGTGCCCAGCTCTGCACAGTGTCCGGATCGCGTGTCTGTCTGATTTGTATCCATCCACCTGTAGGTTCGACCCCACATCTCTGCTACTCCCCATCCCCTGACTCCTTTTTCTCGAGACTTCTGAGCTTTATGTCCCCAGAGTGCAGTTCAAGAATGGAAGTCAAAGACCCCACTTGGGCTCAAGCAACCGTCTGGTTCTGCCTTTGTGGTTTTCTTCCCAGTTCCACACTGCCGGTTCTGGATGGGGAGAGCCTGATTCCCAAGGGCAGGACTCCCAGAAAGGACACCCTTAACTTTGGGGCCAAGTGCAAAATGGTTTCTTTTCACCAGACCAACATTGCTTAACAGGGTCTGATGTAAACTGATGCCACCGTAGGGTGGCTAACCCCTTGCTTATGTTATAGGGTTGATAGCTAAGGGACAAGGCCAGGGGTCAGGGAGTAGGACGAGGTTGCCTTCTCTTCCCTTCCCCCTCACTGGAGAAATACATTTCTTTTATTTCACACAAATTGGAAAGCAGGTGCTAGGCACCCTTGTGTCATTGTGTGTGGTGGGAAGCCACAGCCCCTTGAGTACGAGACAAGTTGTCTGTCTGTATGGGAGCTGCTGGCCTGGCTATCTGCTTGTTTCCCTGAGGACCAGGGTCTCTTCCCAGAATGGCCTTGGGTGAACCCCTGCTGTCCTCTCTGCCCAGGAAATGAATGCCCTTCGTGGCCAGGTGGGCGGGGACGTCAGTGTGGAGATGGACGCGGCCCCGGGTGTGGACCTGAGCCGCATCCTGAATGAGATGCGTGACGAGTACGAGAAGATGGCTGAGAAGAACCGCAAGGATGCCGAGGACTGGTTCTTCACCAAGGTGGGTGGCTGTGTGGGGCAGGGGTGCTCCTGTGTGGCTGCACACGCTACCTGCTGACGTGGCCTGGGTCACTCTCAGACTCTTTGGAAACCACTTGGACCAATGTTCAGGTTTCCAACTAAAGGCGAGGCCTGGAGAAGCTCAGACACACAAGGAGCTCCCCTGTGGCTATGGCTATGGCCTGGGGAACTGATCCAGGCCACCCAACCTGGCTCGCTCCACCCACCACAGGTGTTTGCTGCATGGGTGTTCTTGGATATGTAGGTCATGCCTTGGCTAAATACTAAATGATCATCTGTGGGTTCTGGGGACAGTCACCAGCACACCAATAATCTCCAGTGCCTGCTTTGGGGTGTTTGTAGTTCAACAGGGACCCTAGCAGGTGCTAGATCCACAGCACGTGTCCCTTGTGGGCACAAAGGGGCTCTGGATACAGGTGCCTATGAGCTCCTCTGAGGCCAGGGAGGGGTAGTTCTGGGAGGATAGGATTTAGGAACCATTCCCATCCTCTGTGCCCTCTGAAAACCTTCTTTATTCCCTATGCTCACCCTGCTTTCCAGACGGAGGAGCTAAACCGTGAGGTGGCCACTAACACGGAGGCCCTGCAAAGCAGCCGGACGGAGATCACGGAGCTCCGCCGCTCTGTGCAGAACCTGGAGATTGAGCTGCAGTCCCAGCTCAGCATGGTGGGCCACCATCCCTGTCCTGCCTGGTCCTTGTCACTTCTGTTGAGCCTTGCCACATAGAACGCCCACTGGGAGAACCAGAAACAACCGGTTCAGTCCATCCCATGGGACCCTCTGCCCTAGTTACCGCCTAACTGTCCTGGAAACACATAGAAGTCACCCCGGTGGGACCACTCTCTGGGCGTCTTCTGTGGGGAAGGGCTCAGCTCTTGTCTCATTGGGGGCCACAGAAAGCATCACTGGAGAACAGCCTGGCAGAGACAGAGGCACGCTATGGAGCCCAGTTGTCGCAGCTGCAGGGCCTCATCAGCAGCGTGGAGCAGCAGCTTTGTGAGCTGCGCTGCGACATGGAGCGGCAGAACCACGAGTACCAGCAGCTGCTGGATGTGAAGACCCGGCTGGAGCAGGAGATCGCCACTTACCGCCGCCTACTGGAAGGAGAGGACTCCCAGTGAGTGGGACTCTAGGAGCCTACCAGGCTGGGCTGGACACCGCTTTGTCCAAAGGATGTCAACAGTTAGATATGAATGTGGAGGTGTGCAGGGGTGAAACGGAGAGAGCATGGTCCTGACCGTGAGGGCTATCATCAGATGCCAACGGTCAGCATGTAGGCTAGGTCTGGTGGGCCTTGGGGAGCCACGGAGTGATGCTGAGCAGAACAATGGCCACCTAGATAGATCTTTGGGAATATTTGCTTTGACTGTAGAGGGAGACATGGGCCAGAGTGGAGGAGGAGTGACGTCAGGAGGCTGGTACAGGGAGTCTGGCCAGCTGACGGTCTCGAGAGCTAGGGGTGGGAGTTGTACAGACAGAAGAGAGGTCTCCCTAAAAACAGCAGGATGGGATGCCCAAGTGTGTGTGAGAGCATGGCTCACAGTTTTTATTCAGTAAACGCTAAGGGAGTATGTGGAAGAGTGGGAAGCTTTGACCCTGGGTTTCTGGTTTGGATGACTGGTCTGGTGTGGTTGGTGATATCATTAGCCAAGTCAAGGTGAGGTGCAGGGCAAGTGACATTTTGATTCAGAGTTGGGAATGCTGATAAAAGTCTCATGGGAAGCCAAGCATGTCCTGGGGTCTCCGGGCTTAGTACACATTCTAGCTTTTCTTTCCCAATAGTGGTGAATTTTGTCTACTGTCTAATCAGTCTCTCTTGCTTTAAATGGAGTCTTTGGAGCCTGTCCTGAAACTAGCTCTTATAGACCAGGCTGGCCGCAAACTCGCAGAGATCCTCCTGCCTCTTCTTCCCTAGTACTGGGATTAAAGGCGTGAGCTACCGCGGCCCAGGTTTAACTGGAGTCTTATTGGGCCCTTCAGGATATGGAAAATCCACCGGTTCAGCGTCTCCTTGTAAATCCTGGTTTAGTGGCCACAATATAGCCACAAAGTGCCCTTAGCTACTTCTTTCCATCCTCCTGTTTTGAAGAACCTGTGGCATTTGGTCCTTGGCTCGTGCCGCTCTCTGTAAACTCTTAGCTATGATTTCTCAATTTGTGGGATACCTCTCACTCTTCTGGGGCCTCCCCAACTGCTGATCCCTCCCAGCTGTGCTCCCAGGGCCCTTCTGGCTTGTGGCACCTCCGAACTCACAGGTCCTTTCTCCCTGCAGCCTGGCTACTCAATACTCCTCATCCATGACCTCGCAGCCTTCCCGAGAAGGTAAAAGTCTATTCTGTCTTGTGTACGGGACATTGCGGGAGATTAAGGGTGTTACAGGCCAAGAGGCAGCTTTGGTAGGGGGTCTTGCCTGAGGCTCCCTATGCCCCCTCCTCTGCCATCTGCAGCCATGGTGACCAGCCGCCAGGTACGCACTATTGTGGAAGAAGTCCAGGATGGCAAGGTGGTCTCCTCCCGCGAGCAGGTGCACCGCTCCACCCACTGAGGACCCTTTCTGCATGTGACAGCCCAGCCTCAGGGGCAGAGGCTGCAGCTCCCTGCATCTACTGCTGTGCCTGAGCTCCCATGAGCTGGCTGTTGCCCTCTGTGTGTGTGCTTTGTGCTCCCCTTACAGAGGGGCCCTTGAGCTAACCCCGGGAGCCACTAATAAAGCTTTGAAGAAGCCTGACCCTTGAACTCGTCATTTGTTTGGTCACCGGCTGAGGCAGTGTGGGCCGAGGGGCTGAGGCAGGTTCACTAAGTGTCTGGTATTGCTTATCCACTGCCTGCTTGCTATGCCCACTTCATCCAGGCCTGGGGTGCCTTGGAAGTCAAGAAGGGAGGAGGTGGGAGGATTGAGGGTGGAGGTATGGAACATCCTGTTTCTAAGAATCTGCCTCTAGGGCTGTTTCCTGCTGCCAGTCCCTTGGAGGGCCTACAGACTTTCTGGGTACCACACCTGTCAGGGGACACCTGCATCAGAACAAAGGGACAGGGTCCGGCTGGGAAAGGTGACTTTCCCAGAGTGGTCGAGGGCCTTGATGGATGAGGGGGTGGCCAGTCTGGCAGTCTCAAAGCCAGCCCAAGAAGCCAGACCGGCTCTACCTGGCTCCCTGGGGGTGTGTGTGGGGTGGGGCAGTCGAGTTGTGTGAGTGTGGGGGGCATCTTGTTTGCTTTGGTGGCTTGGCAGCTCCTGGGCTATTGGGGAAATCCCTCCCAGCTGCTAATGGGGGCTGTCTAGACCTGTCTGGGAGGAGGGACCCATTAGCAGCCTGAAACAAGACCATGTTCCACCCAGCAGGCCTCCCAGGACCCTGGGACCTAGGGCTGGGCTTAGGATGGTAGGTGGGGCTAGGTGGAGACTTGGGGTGGGTCCTGTGGCCCACCCTGGGGAATCATGTTATGGTCTTTATTGTTGGGGACCTGCCTAGGGTGGGGTGGGATAAGAGCGTTGAGAAGGGATATCGTTTAGTTTTTCACCTGTCTGGGACCTGAGTTGTCCCATCCTCCTAGATCTCTCAGGAGACAGAGGAGGGTAAGGAATATGGAAGGAGACAACCCCTTCTCGGTTCCACAGACTCCCTTTAATAAGGCCCCATTCCCACACATAGCTCTGTTTTCTCCTGAACCTTTAACTGAGCTCTCTTCTGCCCACCTGGTCCTGGGAGTTGTCCTGTAGGAAGGAAATGGGGAAAGGTCTAGAAGAGAGTTCTGGGCTTCCTAGGGGACCCAGGGATGAGGACCATTTCAGAAAACTGGTCAGAGGAAGTCTCATCCCAGGATGTGTCCCTGGGTGTTGGGGCTGCTTAGAGGAGTGACTTGGGTTGGGGGTGCTGTTGCTGAGTGAAGGGCAAGGAAGCCAGCCCACTGCTTGAATGAGCCGGGCCTGTTTGGACACCGCATTCCTTGCTAAGCTCCAGTTTCCTGCCTGGCTTGGCAACTGGAGTCTCGAGGTTGTTTCTGTGTTGTGGGGTCGGCCAGGTGGGCATAGATTTCAACTCAGAATGGGTAACAGGTCTTTCTAACTCCCCAGTTCCCGGACCCAGGCTTTTCACATATGTGGGGCGGCACACTGAGATGGGAAGTCACCTTAGGTGTGTGTGTGGTGGGGGTGCCAACTCCTCACCTCATTTTCCCATCAAGCTGGGGTGGCAGCTGCCTGGGAGGGCTGAGGGGAGGTGACGTCGCCAGCTCCTCTTGTCCGTATTAGGTCATGGGAAAGCGTAGCTGGAGGGCCTGCCTGAATCACAGGTGACAGGCCCGAGACCAGAGACAGATACACACGCATGCGATCACGACACCCAGCACAGGTTTTGGTGAAATGAGGCAGAGCCCCAGTGGTGGGAGGGGAGGGGGCCCGTAGCTACCTGGGAGCTGGCGGGTGGCCAGTGGTGATGAAAGCCCAGGGGAATGGAAACAGCGGAGAGCCTGTTGTAATCGCTACGCCCACTGGCTGCCCTATAAAGGAGGCGGGCGAGCCCCAGCGCAGCACGCACCTTGGCGCCTCTCATCCTCCCAAGCCCTCCAGCTCCACATCTGTTGCCTGCTGCCACCATGACCACCACCATCCGCCAGTTCACCTCCTCCAGCTCCATCAAGGGCTCCTCTGGCCTGGGTGGCGGCTCATCCCGCGCCTCCTGCCGACTGTCTGGCAGCCTGGGTGCAGGCTCCTGCAGGCTGGGGTCAGCTAGTGGCCTGGCCAGTGCCCTTGGGAGCAACAGTTACTCCAGCTGCTACAGCTTCGGCGCTGGCAGTGGCTATGGAGGCAGCTTCGGGGGTGTTGACGGGCTGCTGGCTGGAGGGGAGAAGGCCACCATGCAGAACCTCAACGACAGGCTGGCCTCTTACCTGGACAAGGTCCGTGCCCTGGAGGAGGCCAACACGGAGCTGGAGGTGAAGATCCGAGACTGGTACCAGAAGCAGGCCCCAGGGCCAGCCCGCGACTACAGCTCCTATTACCACACTATCGAGGATCTGAAGAACAAGGTAGGGTTGCAGGCAGGAGGGGCATAAACTACCCGCTTCCTGCCCTCATCAAGGCCTGGAGTCCACAGGGGCTGCCGTAGGGCCGCTAGACTCTGGTTTGGCATCTAGGAGCTTGTGTGACCCACAGCCTCCCTTCTGGGGGCAGTTGACTGGGCCAGGAACAAGCTGGCATCATGGGTCTCTTTTGGAGTGTCTGTTTCTTCCTCGGGCAGTCCTGAGGCCTCGTGTCAGTGATGTCTAGGCCACGAGGGTATAGGGGGAGGGCTGGTTCCACAGAGTGGAGCTGGATTTGTGAGTGTCCCCGTGACTAGGGGTTTGGATGTGGGGGCAGACTGAGAATGTGTTCCATAGCAATCCTAAGGGAGGAAGCAGGAGGGGGCGGGGCACAAGACTCTCATTGGAAATGTTTCAGGGGATTTTTCCTTTCTGGCGTCCTTGGCTTTCCTTTGTCCTTCTGTCCCTCAAGATGACGGCTCAGCAACTTCTAAAGTGGGGCTGAGAACCAGAGCCCAGATTTACCAGAGTTAGTGATTTCTGGTGTGGGGTTTCTGCTGGTTAGGGAGGGCTAGCTCCTCTAGCCACCTTTTTAGGGACACTCCCAGTGATACTTTCTGGGGTGCAGAAAAATAGGGGGTTCCATACAGTCTCACCATGCTTTTTGGAGTTCAGGGACAGCTTTTGCCCTGAGGCTATTCCAACACTCTCCAACTCTGTTCACCTCCCAGCCCGAGGCCTCTTCAGGTCTCAGGCTGGCATAGAGGAGGGTCTGCAGGAGCGGGCAAGCGCTAGGGTCAGGTTTCATGTTTCAGCTCACTGGACTCCCTACCAGCAAGGGCAAGCCTGCGTAGGGAGTGGGTGGCAGGGAGAGGGGTTTTCTCTGAAGGCAGTGAACCCCAACCTCCAGACAGGAAGCTTGGCTCAGAACACGGGCCTGGGTTGGGCCACCCTAAACTCAATGACCTAATGGTTCACCATCTCCTCAGATCCTTGTGGCCACTGTGGACAATGCCAGCATCCTGCTGCAGATCGACAATGCCCGTCTGGCAGCTGATGACTTCCGTACCAAGTGAGTCCCAGCCAGAGGGTTACAAGCTGGTGGGGGAATCTGGGGTGCCTTTCCTCATCCTGACTTCCCAGAAGACAGGGGTGAGAGGTCGTGGGAGCTGAGGGCTGACTCCTTAGTTGGATGAGCAGAGACAGCAACTTGGGTTGGGAGATGTGGAGGAGAGTCAGTAGTGCAGTAGAGGTCTTGCCTTGTGGTGGTCCCTGGCTCAGGGTTGCCACTAGATTCCGTTCCAGTCTTGGATTCTCCCTCGTATGTCCTTCCAGCTCTGACATAGGGAAGGCAGGGGATGGCACCAGGAGTCCTACCTGTGTGCTAGAGCAGCCTGGCCTGAAGTCTCTGCTTCTCACTGCAGGTTTGAGACGGAGCAGGCCCTGCGCATGAGTGTGGAGGCCGACATCAACGGCCTGCGCCGGGTGCTGGATGAGCTAACCCTGGCCAGAGCCGACCTGGAGATGCAGATCGAGAATCTCAAGGAGGAGCTGGCCTACCTAAAGAAGAACCACGAGGAGGTGAGGGGGCAGGGTCAGCAGGTCAGAGAAGATGAGGAGTAGGTGGCAGAGCCTTGGGGCTCGGCTGTGGTTGAGGGCGTGGGAGAGAGGTCTTGTCAGGTTTAGTCATCCTATAGGGTTGCCCTTTCTGTGGAGCCCTGGTTTCTGTGGTCCAGAGCTTCCATGCATCCCTGCATCTTAGGGACCTCTTGGGCCTCCTAGAGGCCTCCTCGCCTGTCCTTGCCTTGCTCACAATGACATTGGAGGAAGGAGACGCCCAAATGCTTGTTTTAGTTTCAACTGTTAAACCTGGGCTCCACACAGGTGTTTGGAGATTGGAAGGAAAGTTTTGGGGGGACAAAGACCTCGAATCAGAATCAGATGTCCCTGGAGAGCCCTAGTTTAATGAGGGAGGCGCAGTCTGATGGTCGGGGTAGCGTCCATGCAGAACACACACACACACACACACACACACACACACACACACACACACACACACACACACACACATCCACAGGAGGAAGGTCAGAGGGGAAGACACACACACACACACACACACACACACACATCCATAGGAGGAAGGTCAGAAGGGAAGAGGCTGGGCAGGACCAACACCTTCATCCCCTCTTCTCGTAGGAGATGAATGCTCTGAGAGGCCAGGTGGGCGGGGAAATCAACGTGGAGATGGACGCAGCTCCTGGTGTGGACCTGAGCCGCATCCTGTCAGAGATGCGTGATCAGTACGAGAAGATGGCGGAGAAGAACCGTAAAGATGCTGAAGACTGGTTCTTCAGCAAGGTGAGAGCTGTTGCAGACCAGACAGGTCACAGGGACCTGCGCCCCAACAGTAGCATGCCATCTTAGGGGTTCCCTACCGTGGTCAGACTGTGTGGACTCTACAGAGTCAGGATCGCTCATTGCATCAGCAGAGCTGGTGTAATCTAGTCACTCACCTGGGGGATGAGTGGGAGGCGCCTCGTGGAATCAAGGGAGAAGGGTAAAGGCCTTGGGAATTTCCACCTTCACTTAAGAAGCCCGGAATCAGCACCAGAGACTGGGCTACATGTCCTGGCTGGTTCTTAAATATCCTATTCTATTGCCTCCTACTTGTAGAGATTAAGCATGTTTCAATGATATGTTTCAGGGCTTGGGAA